AAAAAAAAAAAACAAGTTTTATTTATTTATTTTTCATTACTCAAAGGACCAACTGTTTGTGGAGTTTTATTAATTGATTGTGTAGTTTTTTTTTATCTTTTGCTACATTTACAACTGAAGCTTTGAATTCATTGAGGAGAGTGTGAAAAAAGATGTTATAAATGAAAGTGTCTTTTGTAGTCAGATAAACTTTTTAATAGTTTAATTTTTTCTATGATGTTTTGGCTATAAGTGGACTGAAAGGGAGAAAAAAGTTACTGAATTATCATTCATCATCGTTTATGAGTTCCTCATTTATAATTTAATTATGCAACTCCATTTTACAGATTTTGGACCAAGTTTTTTTCTAACTTTGTTAAAAAAAATTTTTTTCTGTGGGATAAAACGGCGGAACTAAAACGCATAAGTACGTTAATTGATAAACTAAACTATCTTTGATTATGAAGTCGACGACGTTGATAGTCAATAGTCAATTAATGTTGTATTTTATGATTATTTTTTAGAGTTTTATCAATTTACTGCATGGTTTTTTTTTTGTTTTTATTTCTTCCTTTCAGTACACTTAATCGCAGTTATTTATGTAATTTAGTTTAGTTCAGATTTACTGTGGCATAGAAGGTAGGAATTTTTGTGACGTATATGGCACAGCACATAACAGGGAAAAAAAATAAATCACACATTATCAACCAGAAAGCAACTAATATTATCAAGCAAAGAAAATTTTTTTTTTCCCAACATTATCAATTATCGTGTTTGAACAGAATCTACTAATTCCAAATATACAGCAACAACAATCAGAACAACTCACTACTTCAGTCAACTTTTGTTGAGCGTGAAAAGTAAATTGGCACGTTCCGCAGATAACTCGGAAGTGATCTATTAAAATTTTGAAATTTAGCCAAAATGTTTAAGATCGAAGAATTTTTTTACTTTTTGTGAGATAAATTTATTGACTCTATAGTTGGAACTCTTTGAGTGCTACCTCATTTTCAGACTTTTTGAATGGTTTAGGGTTTGCGGCTTTTGACTGTATGTTCTGCTAAATTGCTTTCTTAACAATACGATATGTATAAAAAGAAGTTATACTGAGCACATGTTTTAGACTTTTTGAATTCTATCTTTGAGACTGTTTGCTCTACATAAATCTTGCTAGGCAAGATAAGAAAATTCTCTGGATTATCGTCTACAGTATTGTACGTTATTTGACACGAAATAAAATGGTGTTTGTGACAAAACAAATGTTTAATTAAAGCACGACTTATTTTCTGAGACTTTATCGGCAGGATGTTGAGTCCCTAAAACTGTGATATTTTTTTTATAAAACGTCTCTGAACGCTCTCTTAATTAATTAGATTGTCTTCAAGTAAAAAAAAAAATTATGGTAAAGTACTGACCTATATTCAATAATGGCTAAAGATATACTTTTAACAGGAACCTAAGAAAACTAATTTTCATTGAATAAAAATTCTGAAAATTTAATTTACGATATGTAACGTTTTAAGAACAATGCTGAGTAGGAGTAAATTCGTTTCTAGTTATTTCGAAGATCGCAAGTAACTTGTGCTCTGTGTAAAATACACTCACCAGCTTTACTCTGGAACTTTTTAGGATGTTTAAGCATAATCGATGTGTCTGATATCTGGAAATAAAAAAACAGAATAGCTACATAAACATAGTTTAACTACACGTCTTTTTTAGGTCGACATTTAAATAATCATCATTCACAGAATATTTAAAAATTGAAAAGAAACTCTATGGATGTCAGCAAAAAAAGACAATTTATTGTTTTCAGCTATCGTTTATAGTTTAGTTGAATGAATTTTGAACGAAAGCAGTTTAAATGACACAAAGATGAGGAATTCTGAAAATTGAGTGGACAAGGAGAGGACTTGGTGCTGGTTGCACCAAATG